ACCCCTCCCCCCACCACTTGGTTATTCTCAAGGATGATCCCTTTTAACCAAGCGCAAACAGCCCAGCATGAACGGGGTTCTTTTACTGTTCCCTTACAAAAATTCCCCTATTTCAACCAGGTGACCATAAATTATATCACTCTCCTGAGGCTAACACAGAAAGATATAGACCAAATGTTGCTTGAATGCGACCAAAACCCAGGACCATTCGCTGCCATGCTTTGTGCTGCAAGGATTCCAGACTACGTGCTACTGGCTTGGCATGATAAAGTGTCCTACCGTGGAGGACGAAATAAGGCAGCCCTCCCCAGAAACCTTCTGCAAAGGCTTTCAGAGTACCTCCAGGAACGCTTCATGGAGATGTCCCTAGAGGATTCCCGCTCCATCCCCAGACATGTTAACAGACTTTTTCAGTAGCTGTACTGGCCGCAAATGCATCCCACTTCTTCAGGGCAAATTAATCATTAAACACACTTGCTTTTAAACCCTGTGCTGTAGTTACAAATGTGCACTCACCAGCGGTGCCTTCTTCAGCTTCAGGGTCCGGGAACCCACCTTGGGAGGGTATTCGCTCCAGGGTGATGAAAAGGTCCTGGCTGCCGGGGAGAACGGATTCTCCGCTTGTCTGCTGTGCATTCTCCTCCTCCTCCTCTTCCTCATCCACAAAATCCTCCTCCCTGTTGCGTGAGACACCCCCCTTGCAGATGTCAACGGATAGTGGTGGAGTAGCGGTAGGGTCCCCCCCTAGAATGCCATACAGTTGATCGTAGAAGTGACATGTATGGGGCTCTGACCTGGAGCGACCGTTTGCCTCCTTTGTCTTTTGGTAGGCTTGCCTGAGCTCCTTGACTTTCACGAGGCACTGCTATGTGTCCCTGTTATAGCCTCTCTCCACCACGCCCTGTGTGATTTTGGTATATATATATTAGCATTTCTTCTTTGTGATCGGAGTTCAGCCTGCACAGATTCTTCTCCCCATACAGCAATCAGATCCAGTGTCTCCCGTTCGATCCATGCTGGAGCTCGTTTGCGATTCTGGGACTGCATGGTCACCTGTGCTGCTGAGCTTGCCACGCTGACCAAACAGGAAATGAAATTCAAAATTTCCCTGGGCTTTTCCTATGTACCTGGCTTGTGCATCAGAGTTGAAAGTGCTGTCCAGAGCGGTCACATTGGAGCACTCTGGGATGGCTCCCGGAGGCCAATACTGTTGAATTGCACCTGCACTACCCCAAATTTGACCCAGCAAGGTCAATTTTAGTGCTACTCCCCTCACTGGGGAGGAGTACAGCAGTCAATTTTAAGAGCCCTTTAGGTTGACGGAACAGGGTTGGTTGTGTAGACACATTGCTTTTAAAATCGACCTAACGCAGCTAAATTCGACCTAACCTCGTAGTGTAGACCAGGGCTAAGTTTGATGTAAACAATGCAACATTTTTGTAACATAAATACTGTTTCAAGCTTCACAGTATTTGGCTTTTCCTTCTCTTGCTTTGTTTCTTGAACTTTCCATTCTCTGGATCTCCATTTCTAATCTTCATCTTTTCCTTTTGACAAACCAGGTCAGTGCTCCCAGAACTTTTATGAACTAAAGAACTTTTCAATCATTTATCAGTGCCTAGTGTCATTTCTTGGACATCACTGAACATGATGAGCTGACTGGATTTGCCTGTCTGGCTACAGCTGACAAAGGCACTGCAAGATGATCTCCAAGAAGAAGTGAAAGAGAGGGATGGCAAATAAAGGAACCCGCTTGACAAAGACAGAGTTCAAATAATTGTCCCATCTTTACTTATTTTCCTTTTATTTGTTTGTCCCAAATAGTTTGAATGAAGGAGACTTTACATCCTAAATTGTGATTGGTTGCGGACTTATGTGTTCAAAGAAATGAGACTGGCAAGTGCTGTGATTTGACTGTATTTGTTGTTTAGATTTTTTAAAATGGCCTATTATCAGAAGAGAAGTTATTACAGATCCAGCCAGAAGTTTCTAAAGTAGTATTAATATACCTTGGTGCTCACTGAAAACATACCATGCTGCATGGCTGTTGTCCAGTCTCTTTTTTATAGAATCATAGAATCTCAGGGTTGGAAGGGACCACCGGAGGTCATCTAGTCCAACCCCCTGCTCAAAGCAGGACCAATCCCCAACTAAATCATCCTTTTCTCCAGCAATGTTCCCTCTCCCATGCAGTAGGTGCTATTATTAGAGCCTCTCTTCTTTTCTGCATAACCACATGATCCCATTTCTGTTGGACTCCCATGATTTGGCTCCCCATTACCCTGAAAGGAAACAAAGGCTGCTACAGTAACTAACAACAGAGTCTGATAGAGATTGTGTGTGTGTCCATTTTTCTGGGCCAAATGCATGGTATGTTCTGAAGAGTAAACTTTAACTTTTGTCATACCTTTTTGTTTCAAATGGGAACAGTGAGATTTATTTCTTTTCCTACTCTCTTCCAGTAGGCACTGGGGCCTCGCTTTGGCAAAGCAGTCATTCATGTGCTTAACTTTAATCATGTAAGTAGTCCTGGTTAAAGTGAAGCATGTATTTAAGTTCATTTCTGAATTGGGGCCTGAATGGATAGCAGCAAAGCTAGCATCAAGTGCTTACGTAGATCACATGGTTGAGTCAAAACCCAGTTACCAATACGCTACAATGCTCCCACTGACCCTTAACCTCATTTTAGCATGCAACTCATGAGTATCTGGCAATTAAAGTTTGTCCAATTATATTTGGAAATATTCAGCTCAATCTAATGGTCAGTATTTATGCTTTTTAGCAAATGTATTATTTGATTCACCCATCCCTTCTTGTGAATAATTCTGGTAATTGATAGCTTATTGTTTTACTTGCAGAATTACCAAGGTGCAATCCAGACCAGTCAGGGACTGTATCACCACATGCCCCATAACCCTCACAATGCTTTGCTGCTATAGCTCCCAACCTGGGCCACTCACAAACAGCCTGACAGCATGCAGGTCACATCCTGAGTGTCTGTGAATAGCTATAGCCCTGGTCCAACATCTCTGACCCCAGGAGCCTGTCAGCAAACACCAGCCGCATTCTGGCTTCCAGCAGCCTTGATTACTACCTGCAGGGCGAAACCAATCCACTCCCAGCTCTGATTTTTCCCAAAATGTGTGTTATGCACTGTCCAGCGTTCTCCTGGGCAGTTTGGATATTAGAGGTCCACTGCCCTTGTAAAGGGTCAATATTCAACAGTTTGCTACTTTAATTGGAGTTTCCACACAGCCCAGTTTAACCGCAACACTGGCTTAGCTTATATTAAAAATAAAACAAGTTTATTTCACTACAAAGAGATAGATTTTAAGTGAGTACAAGTACAAGGTATTAAAGTCAGAAATGGTCACAGGAGAAATAAAGATAAAACGGTTCCTAGTAGCTAAAACTTAACAAGCTAGACTTGATTCAAGGTAAAATCTTTACCACAGGTGCCCAGCAACATAGCTGACCAAATTCTCAGGACAGGATCTCCCCCAGAGTCACAGGGCTGGTTCCTTTGTCTTCTTAGGTGAAAGAGAAAGAGAGATGCCTTGGGATGTTTTTGCTCCTCAGTTTTGTAGTCCAGTCACCCTCTGACGTGGATTCTTCTGAGGATTACCCTCAAATCAAAGTGTATTCAAACAGTAAAGAAGGCAATAGGAAGTCTCATGGAGAAAATGGCTCCATGCTCTTTCTTCTCCCCTATGAATGCTGAAATGCAGATTTCATTGTCTTCTGCCATTTCACCTCTCTTGCTGTCTCAAGGACCCTGTTTACTACTTATATGTAAATTGAGGTAAAGATACATTCCTTTGTTTAGGATAGACCTGTATAACACCTTTCTCCTAGTCAGGGCTTTGTGGGTTTGAACATGTGCTAACAACAGCATGCAAGGAGAAGTCATAACTTTACAAATAATGTTCCTACATATATTTCACCATGACATTATTGACCAGCAAGTTATTAGTTTTTGAATGATACCTCCCAAGGCATATTTTATACAAAAATTATTACAATAGTGGGTAAGGAGTGAATATAGGGGTGCTTTCGGTCAAAACCAGTTGCAAGGGTAACTTTCAAATTACATAACATCATTGAATTTTGTAGTGTGATTTAAATTTACCCTCATTCCTTCAGAAGACAGAGTCCTCATACTGTGAGTTGCATTTCTGTTATAAAGCAGTGAGGAATTAGTCATAATGGTCCCTTGATTAATTTATAAGAAAGATCACCTGCAGTACTTGGAGTGACCTAGATACATCATCCCCATGCTTCATCTAAATGTGTATTAGTGTTCTGTGTATACAATTACATTGAAGAGAAGTGTTTGGATCACTAGCATGAAAGGCACCTCAGAAATAGAAATTCCTGAGTTAAACAGTAAAATTTACCACTCCCCATGGTTGCCATGGAATTCCTGAATTATAGTGATGTTTCCAATAATGTGCAGATTTCAGGCTTATGGCAGTTGCTTAGTTTTCATAAGTGTCTACCTAGGCTAACTGTAATATTGATTTTGTCTTAATTGGTCAAGTTCAGTGGAGTTGTCCTGGGGGATGATTTTATTTTATTTTATTGAAGCAGATTGAATATTAGAATGCCAGCACTCTCAGTTGCAAAGGTATAATTGCTGGGCAAATCATGGTATTTGCAGGCTAATAAAACAGTCATTTTTAAGGCATTCCCTGAACCACATCCAAGAGTGAATTAAATGAGACAATGAAGCTCTTTTCGCTTATAATACTGAAAAAAACAAGAGGTAACAATAACAGTTTTATTGGTCTAATGAGTTAACAGCGACTTCTTTCATGATCAGGCAGTGATTAAATTGTCCAGCAGGTGGCTGGCATTCTCCAGCAGAAACCTGCAGCTTCCATACTATTACTGTAATCATTTAAGCAAGCTTGCTACCCTCCTACAAAGCAGGGAGAGTGTTGACGTCCAGAGGTTCCTGCCTATAGGATCAGAGTCTTTAAAAGAGCTGTTCCCTTCCCTCACATTTAAACCCAGCCTACAGCTGCAGGTTCTGAGAACCGGAAGAGACTGGGAAATGCAGTTTGACAGCCACAATCAAAAGTTTTTGCAAAATGTAATTCATGTAATTCAGACTGAACTCTGCTCAGAAACAGTGTGCTGATGCTGAGAATTTAACTAGCCTGGATTCTGAAAATGCCTTGCGTCTATTTGTCTCTTAATTTGGTAAATGGCCTTTTAGAACTGAGTAATACGTATTCGCAAGCCAAATGAATGAGAGGGAGAAAAGTTCAAGGATCAAACTGATTCCAGATTATGGAAATAGTTCTGTTCAGTGACTTTTTAAAAAAAAATCACACAGTGATGTATGAAGTTCAATCTCTTCTGTCTATTTAAAACAAGCATACAGCAAGAAAACTCAACTCAAGCAGCTTTATGTGAGGATTTTTGAACAAGAACATTATCTTCCAGTAGAACTGAATTCAGACAATGGCTTCTGAAGAGTGTTTTCTTCTAGACTTGGAAGTGGATAACTTTATTCTTTGCAACATCTCCATCAATCAAAGTGCAAATCTTTCCATCCTGAGTGATGATTGGTTCTACCCAGGTTTCCTGTATGCTATTCCAACTATTTATGGAATCATCATTTTGATAGGACTTATTGGCAATATCACTTTGATTAAGATATTTTGTACTGTGAAGTCCATGAGAAATGTTCCTAATTTGTTCATCTCCAGTCTGGCTTTAGGAGATCTACTCCTCTTAGTGACCTGTGTCCCTGTGGATGCCAGCAGGTACCTAGCTGATGAATGGCTCTTTGGTCGGGTTGGATGTAAACTTATCCCCTTTATACAACTCACTTCAGTGGGGGTGTCAGTCTTCACACTTACAGCTCTCTCAGCAGACAGGTGAGCTTCCTACTGAAAGCCTGAAATGTGATCTAGACTTTTATGGACCCACAGGCCATAAAAGGTACAAATGCAGATAGGTAAAATATATACTGTTGCCAATCTAACATAGTAGATTAATGCAATTTCAGTTTATTTCTGGTGTTCATGCCTCCAAACACAAATGTTAGTGGGGAAGTTTTCTGAGGCTACACTGAGTCTTTGTACAGATTAGTTAACATGGTCAGTTTAATTTAATGCAAAGAAAAATGATAGCCGATTAAGATAAAGTTATAGCCTGGTGAGAAAAGTATCCATTAGTGAAGGATAATTTGTCCTAAGGCAGTATTACAAGTTTTTTAAATAAGATGATTTAGTCACAGGTCTTTACCAGGTCATATTTCAAGAAGTATGAAGAGACTGAAGTAGCAATTTACTATAGGTGAAATCATTTCTCTCTGATGGCTCAGCTTTCACACAGCTGATTTCATCTGAGGCAACAGTTTATCACGTATGTTCAAAATATTCAAAATTAGGTGCCTGACGTTAGGGACCTAAATCTGTATCAGACACCTAAGTGGTCTGATTTTCAGAGATCCTGCCCTCAAAAGATTTGCCCTGGTTCACTGATTTGCCATTATCTAACCAAAACTGATCTGTGCTATAATTTCTGGCAAACATGTTTTTCCAGTTAGTGTTCAGGTTATCTATCTATCTATCTATCTATCTATCTATGTTTGACTTCTTAAAACTGCTGTGAGTGTAGGAATCAAGCTGTTTTAGATTTATGTAAAGCTTTTTGAACCAATTTTATAAACTTTAGTTTTCAAAAGTCAACAGACATTTGAATTGTAATATTACTTGTAAGGATACAGCCTACTTTTCTGATATATTACAAGAATTCACTTGCAGTACAGCTCTTACATAAATGCATGCCTATGTCAAACAGCCCAGACTGTCTCATTTGCACTCTGGGCTGCAGAATTGAAGTAACAGATTAATGAATAGTGCTATACCTGCTTTAAGTTCTGAAACCTCACAAAGGTACCAACTCTGCCAGTAAGAAAAATAGTGTCCGTTTTGTTCTGCACAGAAAGACATTATGGATGGTATTTTCCTATTCATAAGGAAATCAAATATAAGCTGCTGTGCGAAGATAGAATTAACCATGTGCCAGTCTGGTTGGGCTTTCCTTCAAAAATCACTTCAAATATTTTCATTTCACTGTAAAGGGAGTTTACACATCGACTCCTACATATGCTCTGTGGCTTTAAAACAAACAAACAAAAAATCCCAGTCCATGACACTTCAGAGCACGGTTGGATGTCAGTGGGAATGGAATACAGTTTTGTAGTCACAGTGATTCGACGACTGTATATTAATGCACACATAAAGACACCATTATCAGTGTCAGTCCTAGATAAAACATACACCTTAATGAAGCCAATACTCTCGCTGTAAGAGAGGCGAGAAAATGAGCAAAGCTATATCAATACACCAGAACAGATCCTGCGATCCACCTGTGCTCTTCATTTCTGTGTGACAGGCAACAGGGCTCTTCACCTAGCACAGCTCATTTGAGAGGTTACTGAAAAGCAGGGATCTGTCATGATAGTATTTTTTTCTCAAGAAACTATTGAAAACTAGTATCCTTTCTATGGGTTTAATATAAATCACTCAAAACATGTCAGGAAAAGAAGAGTTCACTGTAAAGAACAAATTACACCAAGGGAAAGATTTGTTGCTACCTAATCACTTGCCAGTAAAAGCAAACAGTGCAGATGTTTTTTACTGTACAATCAGTGAACACAAGCTACTGCTGGAACAAGGGAGCTGAACAGAAAACTGCAGCTGTAGCAAGCTGTTTTCCAGAGATTGAAGCTTTTAATTTCAGCCCCATTTGAACTCAAAGCCATTTGCCCATCATGCTGTGCTGATAGTTGAAAATTGCACCACACTGAAATGTCATTTTGGGAAAATGACTTAAGGAACTAAGGCACCCTTCTTTCTGGCACAACCTGCCCACTCTCTGAGGTAGATTTTGAACTCACTGTATGAGGCTGTATCCATGGAACTACTATTAACCTTAGAGTGAAGAAACTTAAATCCTGTGCATCATACTGACACTGTTCCTTTAATGGCCTTTTCTGTTTAGTTTACTAAGATTTTTATTTTGGTTATTGTCAGTGCTGCTGGGACAATAAAGTTGCAAAAGAACAGAGGGTCACATTGGCCAGTTTGCAGATGCTCAGTAATATAATGTTTATTTTCTGGAGACTGTCAGCTTATGTTCCAGAATCCAATTAAAACTTACAGAATGGTTTAAAAAAAAAAAACCATCTCTCTAGACTCTAACCCTCATGGGCGCAAAGAAAGCTGTCCAAGTGTGAACCACCTGTAAACCAATGCAGTGATCTCTGCCTGAATCAGCAGCCAGACTGAGATGGTAGCTTTGATGTGTATGAACTTTGTCATTCATCTCAGTAAAGTGTTGACACTTAAACCCAGTGATTACAATTTCATTGTTTACTATGTCAGAGTTGATCCAAGTATGTTAGGAAGGACGAGGAGGGTCATATTTCTGAGGAGCTGCTCAATCTACTTTGAGCGGCATCCAAGCCCCACTAAAAGTGAGCTTAGTCCACAGAACTCAGCTGGGCATCTGAGCCTCACCAAGGAGGAGCATAGCCCAAGGATTCCAGCAGGGTATGCCGTCCACACGAAGGGGGAACCAAGTCTGAGGGGCCCCGTAGGGCATCTGATGGTCACTAAGGGGAACTCAGGAGAATCTGAACTCCACTGCCCTGTTATACCAAAGCTGTGGAGCCAGGAGAGCATGAACATCTGCACAGCCTGCTTTTATGTCTCCAGTGGAGGGGGTTTGTCATAGCATCGCAAACTTTTTTCCCCAGTTCATCTTTTGCATAAGAGTAAACTCAATTCTAGTGTACCTCAGGCACCACTGGCAAAGTTGCACAGTGTGTTGACAGTTAGAAAAAATACTATTATTATTGTTTATTGAAGTAGTGCCTAGAGGCTCCAATTAGGGATCAGAGCTCCAGTGTATTAGCTGCTGTAAGAACATATAGTAAAAATAGAGTCCCATGCCCAGACAGCTTACAGTTGTATCTTACAATCTAAGCACACAATGAGAAACAATAGGTAGAATCAACAAACAGATTCGGGGGGGGGGTAGGAGTCACAAGGTAGCAGTGAGATGAGTATGATAGTATAATAAGCAGTAGCCACAGCACCCCATTGTGTAGGCATCATGCAAGAGGTGAGTTTTAAGGAGATTGGAGAGAGGAGGGTGAAGTGATTGGGGAGCTGCTGCCTTGCAATCTTGCTCTGGTATTTACATTAAGCTAATTTGATATGGAAATCAGGGATAAGGAATAAATAGGAAAACCCAGATGTTTGACCATAATGACTCTTTAACCACTGAGCCACCACACTATTTTAAGTTCCTTTTAGTAGAGAAACCAGAAGAGTTACAAAAACCATAATCAGATTGAGTGCCACATAGGGTGACCAGATGTCCTGCTCTTATAGGGACAGTCCCGCTATTTGGGACTTTTTCTCACATAGGCACCAATTACCTCCCACCCTGTCCCGATTTTTCACATTTGCTATCTAGTCACCCTAGTGCCACAGAGAATTTTATATATTTATTTACTCCACTGATTTTAATTGCCAAATGCACTGAATTTATCAGGCAGGAAAAGTTTAATGAAAGTACAATGTAGAAGGAATGCAATTTTTAAGCTCAAGATAAAATAATTGAATGAGTTGATTCAAGTCAATTTAACATATCCTGAGCTCAGAGGAAGAGAGCATCCCAATTAGCAGAGTCCATGACAAGCTTACTGCAGCACATGGCAATAAATAACCCTTTAACTTTGACAGCCCTACACACATACACAGATTTTTTTGCTAAGTGCAAAGTGAAATTGTTATTTAATGACAGTAAGAATGATGGAAACTGCAGGAATGAAATGTGACTTTTCTTAACTTTTTTTCATTAATGAAAAATTAAAGTTTGTATTTTATGGGCAAATGTTCATACTTCTCTGGTTTTCTGAAGTTAATTTTAACATCAATTAATCCATGGTTTCATCACCTCATGTGATCGCTCTCATGTCTTTCCACTCTGTTGAAAAATCCATTCCACCAGTCTCCAGTTAGATCTGGAATCTTTAAGAAACAGCCCACTCAAAAAAATGCCACTCATGATAAGCTTTCAATGAAGTGTTCTTCCGTGAAAGGTCATTTTGACTGGCTTGGAGATATTTGTATTTCCTTTTGGCTTGGTAGCACCATTAGTTTTATATTTTCTTTAGGCTCATTCTTCCTTTTGAGCCTGTCATAACGAAGAATGAACTCACTAGGACAGTGGCATGAAGTTTGTGATCTTTAAGCAGTTTGTTTAGCATTCTCTAGAAAGGATGAACAGAACTTCTCTGATGAGCGACCAGTTGTGATCTCAGTCCACAAAGAGACGCAGTTCAGCAGTGTAAGAAACAGAATGTTTTAAATCAGGGGTGGGCAAACTTTTTGGCCTGAGGGCCACACTGGGGTTGCGAAACTGTATGGAGGTCCGGGTAGGGAAGGCTGTGCCTCCCCAAACAGGCTGGCTCCCACCCCCCCTGACTGTCCCCTTCAGAACCCGTGACCCGTCCAACCCCCCCGCTTCTTGTCCCCTGACCTCCCCCTCCCAGGACCCCTGCCCCTAACAGCCCCCCAGGACCCCATCCTCATCCAACCCCCCCGACCCCCATCTACCCCCCGGGACTCCCATGTCTATCCAACCCTCCCCCCCCACTCCCTGTCCCCTGACTGCCCTGACCCCTATCCACACCCCCACCCTTAACCGCCCCCCAGGACCCCACCCTCTATCTAACCCCCCCTGCTCCCTGGCCCCTGACTGCCCCCCAGAACCCTCTGCCCCTTATCCAAGCTCCTCACCCCCTTACCAGGCCACTCAGAGTGGCAGGAGCTTGCAGCCCCGCTGCCCGGGTAGA